CCCCAAAACCCCAAAACCCCAAAACCCCTAAGTATGCATACTGGTAACATATAATAGTTTCAATTTGTTTAAATTATTCCTGGTCTCATAATTTGAAATACATTATAATTAATATCATTATAAGCACACACAAACAAACAGAAACCTTAAATTCACTTAATATTTTGCAAAATGAATCTCCGCTTACCTGAATAAATTAAACCTCCAAAGAGGTTTCGCTCCATGTCACCTGTTTTCAAATAGAAATTCCAAGAATTTGAAGCTCCCTTAGTATATACTCAGTAAATTGTTGCAAGCTAGCAAACTCCTAAAGATGGTAATTATGATGGTGAATTCCCTCTGAACAGCAATCCACAAGTAATTGATGATTTTGATTCAACTAGTTGAATTCGATAAGGATAATAAATGATTTACATTCTCAAAATTCAAGCTAACAGTCAGGTATAATAAGATTATTCCGTCTTGATGAATCAGGTGGCCCATTTTCCAGAAGATTAAGTAATCAAAGAAAATGGTAGATAATCTTGTGGTAATTCTAATTCTGAGAGCTAATTAATTGATTCAATTAAATCAACACTTCCTGTAGAAACTACTCATGAACTCGATTCCTTAGTTCCTCTGAATTTATTGCTATAGAATGAAAACACCAGACTCTGTCTTTAGGAAGGCCAGAGTTAAAACTTTAATGAGCAAGACATATGCAATAACCAATTTCCCAAATCTTTGAAATCTTCTGATAAAACATTAACACTCACTTCAAGATCTAGCGAAGATCCTCCACTTATAACTGAGAATCGCTCAACTGAAGACATATATTCTGAGAACCAATCTCCAAAGCAATCAGATTCTGTTCTTATTCTCAATTAAGACTAGTAAAAAGCATAGTAAACATCCAATTAAGAAGAAACCTAAGCTATTAGTGAATCTAGTGGCTCCAATTAGGACTATTCGAAAAGAGATCCAAGTAAATTTCTTGAGAAATTTATTCCACTTTTTGAAAAATAATTGCTCTTAAATGATATTGAATTGCCATCAAAAGCAAATCAGCTTGCCCATGCAATCATAGACTTCTCAAAAATCCTTTATCAATTCAAAGTAAACGGAGAAGATGACTCTTCACCTATTAATTTTAGAGAAGAGTTTATGTTTCTCATAAAGCAAGTTTCAAAGTATCATTTGACCATTGAATCATTAAAAACAGAAGAAAAACTTCGGCTTGATTCCTACACTTTATCCAAGATTTTCATTTTCTGTGGGGAATAGATGATTTTGGGAAAATTGAAGGACGTATCAAGAGCTGAAGTTATTTCTTAATATGTTAATAAACTTAAGGGAAAATGCTCTTAAGGTGAATATTGCACCGAGTTTTTCAAATATTGTTGCGAGATAGATCTTGGATCAGGGTAGATCTAACGATTTTCTTGCGATATATTTGAGCAGTTGAATGAAATGGACAGTTTCGAGGATAAATTCACAGATATTGTTCACGAAATATATGTGCGATTCCTATAATAGTTGCTTTTTAAGTATATCATTTAGCTTGATCTATTGCAGATATAAATTCTTTATAGTTAGCTATTTACCTGAATAATTTATATTTATATTGAAAAATTACATTTTCGCATCTACTAATATGATTAGCATATGGGGTTTTGGGGTTTTGGGG